ATAGAAATGACAGAACTCCTCAAAGAACTGTCAGAAAAATAATTATAATGGGAATTGTCAGGCAACCTAAATAGACACTACCACTTTCCCTATAATGATCTATTTGATACAGTGGTCTTCAAATATCAGGGCCTTGTTTATTTTAATACAATAACAATATATTGACTAATCCTTATGGTGTTGCAGTAGCTTGAATGGAAAACTGGATTCTACTATTAGTACCTTCAAATTCTGAATTTAAAATCCATTGTAAAACTCCTATTAGCTTCACATCAGTTTTGTTTGATCTGTACCCAGCAAACTATTTTTAGTCAAAATTTAAGGTTATTCAGACATGCCCTTTTAAAGATATGTGATTTAAGAAAAACAGGTATTAATCATGATTGGAAAATGTTTAGTTCTTTTTTGACATATCCTAGCTGCAAGATAATTTATCCTGAATACTTCATACAGGACTTATTTGAAATATCTTGTTGAGATCTACAGCACAGGTCCAAACAGAGATGCATATTACAAATGTTATTTGTGTCAAATAAGCAATGTTAAAATGGAATGTCTGAATCTGGCAAATTTCCCAAAGATTGCTAGGAGCTCTGGTGATTGTTAGAAAGCTCCCCAGTGTGAGGATGGACTTTGTGAGGTTTCAGGGGGTAGCCGAGTTAGACTGTACAGGATAAACTTAAAAAACAACAAACAGTCTGGTAGCACTTTAAAGACTAACAAAACATGTAGATGGTCTCATGAGCTTTTGTGGGCACAGCCCACTTCTTCAGATGACCGGAGTGTAGGATGTTCAGAACCATCCCACACTCCGGTCATCTGAAGAAGTGGGCTGTGCCCACAAAAGCTCATGAGACCATCTACATGTTTTGTTAGTCTTTAAAGTGCTACCAGAGTATTTGTTGTTTTGTGAGGTTTGTTGGACTGCTAGTTTAATTCCAGTGCTCCAAAGCACTCACTGACACAGACTTTCATATGCATTGGTTCTGTGGAAGCAGGGCTCTCCTCCCACACATGCAGATTGTTAATTTCATCTGGGACATGCTGAATCCAATAAAATGTATGAAAGGATCATTTTTCAGACTTCATAAGCAATCTTTTCCATTTAAAATCTAATCAGTTCTGGTACCCTTATTGCCATATCAGTTATGTAGTTTCAGTGTCACATCAGCAACACTTGGAAATCCCACCAGCAAAGGGGTCAAGGAATTAATTACAGTACAGCTCTAGAGGCCTGGGAATGGCAGAGATTAATATGACACATTCACTTCTCATTGGCTTTACACCAAAAGGTACTTTTACTCACCTTGTAAACTGTCGACTTTCCTCATGTACTTCCATTTCTGTGCTTTTAAATTCATTCAGTTCTTTCCGTATTGCTGCCTAATTAAAAACACACACACACATCAGAAAAGTGACCATCTGTAAAAATATATTAACAGAACAAGTGCCCACTCCTATGTGATACAAAATACCCTCATCTATTTGTTTTCCATTTACTTTTCACTTAAATCCTTTCATGTAATCCATTACTCTTGTACACTTTGATCCTAAGAATGTAATGGCTCCTTTGATTACAGTTATTTAAACAAGTAAAACCATTCTTGAGAAAGCCATAAGAAAATGTCTGGGGCCAGAAAACTCCTCCTCCCAAAATATAGCATTTGCTACAAAAGAAAGCCACCTGTTTAGTATGCATCTGTAAAGAGATTATCACAGCATACAACCCTGGAGGGGAGGATGAGTCATACTTCATGCATAGCGATTGCATAAACTGCAAAATTCCTATAGCTCCCAACTGGAGACAAGATTTTAGGAATGGGAGATGAATGCCACTTTTCAAATGGAAATTAGTCACTCAGTTTGATCAGTTTTAGGTAACATTACATTATGTTTGGATATCCCAAGGCTGTGTTTTCAGCTAGCAGATACTAAAGAACAGCAGAAATTCAGCACAATTTAAAATGTCAGTCCTTGATGCCTATGTAAAACAGCAGTAATCAATTTACCTCACTACATAATTCATATAATTTCTTAAAAGGCCAGCACTCTACACACACAGGTATTGCTATAAATGCTTTTGGTCAAAATGTATAAACATGTTAAACTACTGCTTTCAGGCCCTGCTGTTCAGTGAAAGGTTTATTCTCTCTCTCCCTTCAGTGTTTCAGAAACAAGTAACACAATTTGAGTAATCCTCTAAAAAGGCATCTAATTAAAAGAACAATGTCTTCCAAAGCAGGACAGAATTCCAGCATGATAAGATTATGCTGTGTCATCAGAATACCATCTCCTAAATTACAGATGGGGAACCTTTTTGGGGTCGGGGACTGCTGACCCACCTAAAATCAGTTGGGGTCCATACAAAAGTGAGAAGCAAAAAAAGAAAAAAAACCCCACCTCACTGACATGGCCCCAACTGAGAAACAGAAACACATTCCCCAACACTCCCCTCACACAACAGAGCTGAGGAGAGCCCAGATTAGCAGATTTTGTGGAAGGAAAAGCCTCCAGGCAGTGCTTTACTGCGCCAGCGCAGAGGAGGGGGAGCGGCAGTGTGCGGAGCCGCTTCCTCATCCATGAGGCAAAGCCTGTAGATAGGATCTGACGCTGGCTTTTGTCCAGCCCCCAAGGCTTGGGGTTCTTCCTCCAACAGCAGGGAGTCCCTGCTGGTACTCCAGCCACACGGGAGAGCGGGAAGCTGTGAGAGGGGGTGTAAGGCTGGAGGGTCAGCACGGGGTCCCCAATGTTAGGGGAGGAGCCCAGAACCTCAGGGAACTAGTTTCAGGGAAGCCAGGGGCTGAATCCAGCCCTCAGGCCTTAGGTTCCCCACCCCTGAAAATGATAAACCTTGTACTCCAGCAGGGGACTGACATGCTTAACCCCAGTGATACACCAGCACAAGGCTGCTGCAATAGTAAGGAAAGAGGCATAGCTCAGATATTGCACCCCCACTGTTTTTAAGTGTACACCATATTGATAGTCAAGATACCAGAGCCCTGAGTCCACAGAACAGATATAGTACACGCTTCTGTTCACTGATATGTTTCAGTGGGACCTAGAAGGCCTATTTCTAGGGAAAAGAGGAGTCTCCACACCCACTGGACCCGTTGCCTGTTTGCTGAGACTGAAAACATGGAGACCAATTTAGACCAATTTGTGGCAACTGTTCTGTGGAGACCTGTTCATTACAAAATAGATTGTGATTAAAAATATATTTCAGGCAGTAATAATGTATGCAGTGTTGCTGTAGCCATTTTGGTTCCACAATATTAGTGAGAGAAGATAGGTGAGGTAATATCTTTTATTGGTCTTTGTCTCACAGGTGTTAATAATGACTTTCAACCACTATTAGCAAGACCTGAGAAGGTGACCTACAAATGAAAAAGTTCTACTGCCACAAAGAATGATCAAGCCCTTCTTGTATCATTTCTAAGTGCAGCATTTTGCTCTGCTGTGGCCTGAGGCCTCATCTATACTGATTTGACCTATCCATGCTAGCTACAAGTGTAATTCATCTGGTGCAATACCCAGTGCAGACTTTGCTACAGCTACCGCTTCTCAGGTCTTTGTTACCTCTAGGCTAGAATACTATAATTCACTGTACTTGGAGTGAACTGTTAAGGTCACTTGGAAGCTAAAGTGAGGTCACTTGGTAGCTAAACTTCCACTGCCTCCTGAGTAGGAGCATATGACAGGTGGGAATGGTTTCTTATCTCTGCATGCTGAAGTTATCTGCAGCCACAAAGAATGAAAATCTTCTGTTCCCAGACTTTAATCCATTTTTTAGCAAAATAAAGCCTGACCCTTCTTCTGATTTCTTTTACCTATTTTTAAAACTACTTATAAGTAAATAAGAAACCGGATAGCTTCTCTTACTGTTTAAACTCTCTACTACCTAGTTAGTCTCTCTGCTCTCTTAGGGTATGTCTAGCCTACATGGCTCCATTAATGGAGCCATGTAGATGAGTTTACTAGACATAGGAAAATGAAGCGGTGATTTAAATAATTGCTGCTTCATTTACATCAAAATGACCGCTGCACTGTGCTGATCAGCTGCGCTGTGCTGTCTGGACGCGCCGTGGTCGACAAGGGAGGCCTTTGTCGACTGCTCCGTTATGCCTCGTGAAATGAGGCTTACCGGAGCGGTCGACAAAGGTTTCCCTTGTCGACCGTGGTGCGTCCAGACTGCCCCGCTGTGCCACCAAACATCTGATCAGCACAGCGCTGCAGCCATTTTGATGTAAATGAAGCGGCGATTGGTTAAATCGCCGCTTCATTTTCCTATATTCATTTCCTGTAAACTCATCTACATGGCTCCCTCGACAGAGACATGTAGTCTAGACATACCCTTAAATTGCAGGGTAAGGATGCACGATTTTGGCACTAAAGTCTGAGTTTATTCCCAATGGTGCATGCGTGCAGTTGGTCATCTGGCAACTCTAGTGATGATGTATTCATGTGGTCAAGCATTCTTACAGTAATGGGAGAGTCCATTACATTTCACTATAATTAGTTTTAAAAGAAGCTCTTAAGGTTCAGTCTGCAGAAACTTTGGTGGAATTCCAGGGACTGCAACTAAAAGTGGATAGCAGTGATTTAACTTGCCTAGGAAGGATTTTTAAATGTGCAAGAGTCATCTCTGAACTGCCACAAATAAGCTAGTAAGTAAATTTTAATAGTTTTTCTATGTGTTTTCCTATATGTATTGTACCATGACAATCTCATTACCTCAAGAAGATGTCATGAATGATATTAGTGTAGAAGGATTGAAAATAAGATTCGATTTTTTTTTGTAAATTATGGAATTCAATCTCTATTATCATCTTTATTTGTCCCTTGCCTTGTCTGCAGGAGTTAACCGCGCCCAAGGCTTGTCTGCTCGGCGATCATAATCCGGGGACTCTGTTACCCCCACATACTCATTGAAGCGTAGGATTCTTCTTGCCTGCAGTTCAGCCACGGTAGGCCTCAGACTGAGCTGTGAAC